ACACTGAAATCCTTGCCCATGGATGGCAAGACTGACTTCAGGGTTGATTGCCTACTGAAATAAAAAAAAGTAACATTAACCAGAGGCTTTAAACAGGACCTAGAGTCCAAACAATGTAATACTCAAAATGCCCAGGACACAATCTAAAATTACCGCAACCAGGAAAATATGACTCATTCTCAAGGGAAGACAATCAACAGAGGCCAAGTGCATGATAACCCAGATGTCAGAATTATCAAAGACTTTAGCTATTAAAACAACATTGGGCAAAAGTAAACATTCCTGAAATGAAAGGAATAATAGAAATTCTCAAGAAAGAGACAAAAGCTATTTTAAAAAACCCTGAAATTTTAGAACTAACAAATATCTGAAATAAAAAATTCACTGATGGGTTTAATAACAGAATGGAGATGACAGAAGAATCTGTGAATTTATAGAAAGATCAATAAAGGGCCGGCCCGGTGGCGCACTCGGTAGAGTGCGGCACTTGGGAGTGCAGTGGCGCTCCTGCCAAGGGTTCGGATCCCATATACAGACCGGTCAGCTCACTGGTTGAGCGCGGTGCAGGCGCGACACCGAGGGTTGCGATCCCGTTGCCAGTCACGAAAAAAGACGAAAACAAAACAAAACAAGAAAGATCAATAGAAATTATCCCATTTGTGGACTAATGGGTACAAAACTATGCTACCCTAAGTGAATCATTGTACAGTATGTGCATTTATTGAAACAACACAATATACCCCACAAATATGTACAAGTAAATGTCAAAATATTCTGAATAAAAAAAAAAATGTAGGGCCGGCCCGGTGGCGCACTCGGTAGAGTGCGGCGCTTGGGAGTGAGGCGGCACTCTCGCCGAGGGTTCGGATCCCATATAGAGACTGGTCCACTCACTGGTTGAGCGCGGTGCGGGCTCAACACCGAGGGTTGCGATCCCGTTGCCGGTCGCAGTACGGGCGCAACACTGAGGGTTGCGATCCCGTTACCAGTCACGAAAAAAGACAAAAAAGAAAAAAAAATTATCCCATTTGAACAACAAAGCAAAAAGAAGGAACAGAGTCTTGGACACTTNCACACAGCTCTCAGGATCGCGCTGTTTCCTGACACGGGTGCTCCAGACCCGTCACCATTTTTACCTCTCCCTTGCTCACAATTCTTGCACCTTTCACCATATTCTGGATGGACACAGACTAAATCAATAGGCCATGATCATATTTCATGGAACACTAAGGCTCACTGCAACATAATTTTAAAAAATAAAATAAATTCTAAACAAAATCAGAAAAAAATGTGCATATTTTTCAGATAATCATGCTACCACTTTAATTCTGTAATCATTTCTATACTGTCCCTTAAGAGTTTTGCCTTGCAAGTCTAAAAGATCTAAAAGAAAACAAAATCTAAAAGATTAAAATTAGTCTTCTATTTGTTTTTATCAGAACCATCTTTAATGTTTAAGTACTCTATGAAAAATAATGTCTAGAGTTAAATTTATATGTTAAGCCCTGAGAATAAGTAAAAACATACATTATAGAGGAAGGTAATTATTAAATCCTTAGGAAACCAGGTAGTTTTAACCCTACAATTATTCTTAATCCTGATATGCTTAGACAAGTGGCAAACTTTACTATTTAGGGTAACAAAGCAGATGTGGAATTTAAAACAGGCCTAATTTCTATTAATCTTCCAAAACAATGAATAGCCTAACAAGTCAAAAATTCTGATATGGCTAAATTAAAGCCATAATACTCTATTAAAGATATCTAAGTTATATATGATTTCAAAAACAAAATAAACACATTAAGAAATCAAGAAAGCTAGCCCATTTACAATAGCCACAAAAAAAATAAAATACTTAGGAACAGAATTAACCAAGGGTGTCAAAAATCTCTATAATGAGAAATACAAACCACTGTTGAGAGAAATTAAGATGGACACCAGAAGATGGAAAGATACCCCATGCTCTTGGATTCGAAGAATTAACATTGTGAAAATGTCCATACTACTCAAAGTGATCTACAAATTCAATGCAATCCCCATCAAAATTCCAATGACATTTTTCTCTGAAACAGAAAAACTATCCAGACATTTATACAGAATAAAATGAAATAAAAAAACAAACAGCCTAACAATTCAAAAATTCTGATACGGCTAAATTAAAGCCATAATACTCTATTAAAGATATCTAAAAGACCACAAATAGCCAAAGCAATTCTGAGCAAAAAAAATAAAGCTGGAGGAATAACACTACCTGACTTTAAATTATACTGCAAAGCTATAATAACCAAAACAGCATGGTACTGGCATAAAAACAGACACACAGATCAATGGAATAGAGCATCCTGAAATCAACCCATACACCTACAGCCATCTGATCTTTGACAAAGGCACCAAGTCTACACACTAGGTAAGAAACTGCCTCTTTGGCAAACAGTGCTGGGAAAACTGGATATCCATTTGCACGAGAAACTAGACCCATACCTCTCACCATATACCAAAATCAACTCAAAATGGATTAAGGAATTAAATATACACCCTGAAACAATAAAACTCCTTAAAGAAAACATAGGGAAAACACTCCAGGAAGTAGGATTGGGTACAGACTTCATGAATACAACCCCAAAAGCACAGAAAACCAAAGGAAAAATAAACAAATGGGATTATATCAAACTAAAAAGCTTCTGCATAGCAAAAGAAACAATCAACAGAGTTAAAAGAACCAACTGAGTGGGAGAAAATATTTGCAAAATATATATCTGACAAAGGATTAATATCCAGAATATACAAGGAACTCAAACAACTTTACAGCAAAAAAACAAGTAACTCAATTAAAAAAAGGACAAAGGAGCTGAACTGGCATTTCTCAAGGGAAGATATACAAATGGCCAACAGACACATGAAAAAATGCTCAACATCACTCAGCATTTGGGAAATGCAAATAAAAACCACACTGAGATACGATCTCACTCCAGTTAGGATGGTTAATATCCAAAAGACTGAGAATGATAAATGCTGGCAAGGTTGTGGAGAAAAAGGAAGCCTCCTATACTGTTGGTAGGACTGCAAAATGGTGCAGCCTTTATGGAAAATGGTTTGGAGGTTCTTCAAACAACTATAGATAGATCTACCATATGACCCAGCTATTCCACTGCTGGGAATATATCCAGAGGAATGGAAATCATCATGTCAAAGGGATACCTGTACTCCAATGTTTACTGCAGCACTATTTACAAAAGCCGAGAGTTGGAACCAGCCTAAATGTCCATCAACAGATGAGTGGATACAGAAAATGTGGTATATCTACACAATGGAATTCTACTCTGCTATAAAGAAGAATGAAATACTATCATAAGCAGCAATGTGGATGGACTTAGAAAAAAGTTATATTAAGTGAAACAAGTCAGGCACTGAAAGAGAAATATCACATGTTCTCACTTATTTATGGGAGCTAAAAATAAATAAATAAATACACAAACAAATGGGGAGGTGGGGAAGAAGACACAACAATCACAGTTCCTTGAACTTGTTAAGACAAGTGAACAGATATGATATTGATGGGTGGGAGGGGGAGAGGGAGGGGGTGGGAGAAATCAATAAAGTGACACAAAAATCAACTACACTATATATTGATAAAATAAAATGAAATAAAAAAACAAACAGCCTAACAATTCAAAAATTCTGATACGGCTAAATTAAAGCCATAATACTCTATTAAAGATATCTAAGTTATATCTGATTTCAAAAAGAAAATAAACACATTCTGTTCTTACAGAATTAAATTTCCATTGTTTTCTTAAAACATACATAGCCAGAAGCTTCAAGTAATTTAAAACCATCCCCTGAATGCAAATTAATTTAAGCACCTCTTCAATACATTATCACTTAATCCTGAGTCTATAAAAGGAAAAACACCAATTAGTCCTTAATAAAATATAACGAATAAAATAGTAAATTTATTAGAAAGCTTACCACTCACCAAACAATGTCAGTTTCAGAATCCTACTACACTGAATTGCAAAGGAAAGGTCAGAGCTATCAAAAATTGTTATAAGATCTCCATCTGGAATTAAAAAAAAAGTTTTAGATTTGTATCAGTAGTAAAATAGGAGACATGTAAAATTGAAACCCAAAGTGTAGATTGCAGAGCATAATTAGAATCTCCCATAAAAACCTTAAACAAACATTTAAGGATCATCTATGAAAGATGTATTTGTTCAATAAAATACTAAATCAACTTAGTTTATTATTCTTATGCCCAAGTATTTATCATATCCCCATGAGAAAACATAGCTAAGGTTAAAGTATAAAGTGCATTAACTTTTACTAGTCACCAGGAGAATCATGGCAGCAATAAAACAGATTATTGGTTTAGACTGAAATCTTTCCATCCCCAAAAATTTAAATGTATTTATCAAAAGTTAAAGAAATAAAGGTTCCCGAGGTTCAAATCTTAACTCAAAATACAGTAAAACTCTGTTGACACAAATGGAGAGAAAGCTATATATAACAATAACTCAAAGGGTTGCTAAAAGACTGTCTGGCAGAATTGCTTTAATGAATGGATAGAAAGTGGAGCCTTTCAGGTCACTTACCATTTTGATACTAAAATGAAGACTATCAATCTCCCCAGAAAAAAAATTAATATACACAAAATAGTGCATATTTAAGGTGGTGAAATCCCCTAGATCTCAGGGATGAAGAATACTATAACTAGCATATGAGCTGCATGTTTCAAAAGCTTTCAAAGGGCTGGGAAAAAAAATATTCTCTAAAGAAAACAAGAAGAGAAGAGCAGTCACAGACAAAGAGTTGGTCAGGGACCTCTGCAGGGTGTCTTCAAAGACACAGGTAGGTGCACAGGAGTTTTGTCCTGGGGAAGCCAAGAGGCTGCTCCAGGAGTGCTCTGCTGCACCAATTTTAACAGTGATTAGGCAGAATTATTTGGGACAAAGATGGCAATAAAAGCCATACTAAGGATTTTATAATCATTTTTAGCTCTTTATAACCAGACCCATTTCTTGTAACATACATGTCTAATGCTCAACTTCCAGGGATTCTACTCATTAACACATTTTTTAAAAAATATAGTATATATGTAAAAGAAGGAAACTTCCTATAACTGTCTTTTTTCTTTTCAGAATCCCATAACAGAAACAAAACTTCTGATAGCAAGAATTTTACCTGAGCTATCCCTCCATTCTAGTGCCCACAGTGTTTAGAACTCAAATCTGAACAATCCAAAACACTTTTAAAAACAGCATGAAAAAGAAACATAATGTGGTAACTAGATGTAGAGGACAAAATTTCAACAATGAGGATACCCCAAGCTAGGGGTCCACAAACTGCAACCAATGGACAAATCCCTATTTTTATAGGACTGTGAACAAAGAATGATTTTTATGTTTTTAAAAGGTTATAAAAAAAGATGATGATGATGAGACAGAGGCCTTATGTGACTTACAAAGCTAGAGTATTTATCATCTGATTCTTTACAGAAAAAAGTTTGCTGACCCTTACCCTAAACAAAAATAAGGTAGTTAAGAGAAAGCCAGCCATTTAGGTCAGTTTAAGATATGCTAAGTTTGAGGTTAAGAGCAAAATATCTCAGGTTAAAAGAAGACAGTGAAAAATCTGAGTTGTAAAGTCAAGAAAGAGAACAAACTGGGTTGTGAGTTAGCTGAGCTGATTAGAGCACAGCCTTATAACACCAAGGACATGAGTTCTGATCCCCACATTGGCCATCAGCCAAAAAAAAAAAAACCTGGGGGGGGGGAACAGAACAAACCGATCAAATTAAGGCACACATTTGGAAGTCACAGAGGTGAAAGTCAATGTATTGTAAGTAGATGAGATTACTAAGGAAGAAAACAGGAAGAAATTTGCTCTCCTTTACTGTTCCTTAACATAGTGACTCCCAAAAATCAGTTTTGGGTGCTCTTAAGTCATACACCACAAAAAGAAAGGAGAATTACACCTGTAGCTAGACGGCCAGCTTAGCTGGTCACCAGTGATTTATATTTCCTTTCCACAGAGTAAGTTATACAAAGTGGCTGCCTAGTCAAGGATCACATTTTCCAGCCTATCTGCATCTCAGCAAAGCCAAATGACTGGGTTCTGGCCAATGTGATGTGTGCAGAAATGATACACACCACTTCAAGGCCTAGCAAGTAAAATCTCCCGTGTGATCCCTCATACTGTCTTTGCCCATCTGCCTACTGGATGTTAATGCTCCTGGTGAGCTTCTAAGCTATATGTTAAAGAAATCAGAGCTTCTGTCATCTTTGATCACTGAATAATTTCTGAGTGTTAAACCACTGAGATTTTAAGATTTCTATTACAGCAGCTGGCATTACTTTAAGCGAACATTCACAGAGACAGAGAAGAAACTATTAGCAATAACAATATTTTCTATTAACAATAGAAAACCGGGAGAAGCACAGTATCAGAGATGCTAAGGGATAAGAGTACTTCAAAAAGGATGGTGTGGGTAGCAGTGCCAAATACTGAAATCAAGATGCAATAGACTGCAAGTAAGTTCAATAGTAAAAACACACTGGTAACTTCCTAAAAAACAAATTTCAGTAGAGATGTCAACAAAGGCAGCAGGTTAAAGAACAGGAAATACAGTCTAACAGCATAATTCCATTGTACTTGGGAAACATTTGTCATGCAAAACCCATCTCCACAAAAACAGTTTTGTGGTCAAATGAGCCAGGAATACTACATATTATAAACTAACCATGTACATCAGCATATTAAATGCTCTGAAAATTCCTGCAAGAAAGAAACACATTTTTTTTGTTTAAAACAGTTTTCCCATACTACGTTGACCATGAAATTCTTTTTCATTCCAAACACACTGATATTCCTTTCACTTTGGGAAACATAAGTGAAAATTCGGAAAAGCAAAAAGGAATCCAGAATTATATGGGAAGGAGAAAAAAAACCTTGTAAAAATATATGTGGAAGTGTTCTAACATTTAAAACTCACTTTTAATAAAAAAAATCTTACTATTTTAACTTATAAAAGAATTGCACTAACTACACAAACATCCCACTTAAATAAAAGAAAGTGGGCACTCAACTACCATGAAGGGGGGCAAAAAAGAGTCCAATAAAAAACAGGCAAAATAACACATACAATACCCAGACTTCTAAAAACCAGCTTTAACAACATTCTTACCTTCATCTTTATACTTTATTGTAACTTCATCATTACTCAGAAGTTTTCCTCTGAAAACTCGTTGCATCATTAGCACTAATTCATCATAAGTAATATCTTCATTATGAATGGGAATTCGCCGAATATCTTCCCCAAGTTGAGCTTTGATGATTAGCTTTCCACTTAGGTCCAACTGTCCATTCATGGTGGACTCCAGGATGTTCTAGATATACAACCCTAGAGAAAGACTGATAAAAATGATTTTTATGATTACACAACAACAAAACATATCTTAAAAGGTGAAAGCAGAGCTACTATTAGATCTAAGAAATTCTGTCCTTCAACAGAGATTGACTGTCCCAATGTTACCATATTCACGTTAAAATGATCTGGAGGCAACTTTATTTTATCATGTGCTTAATAAAATAAGTATTATTATTATTTTATGTCTATGATTATTTTTATTATCTACATATTTAACTGCTTATCTGACATTACCATTAACTTAACATTTTTACTGTGGTGTGAATGTCTGTCCCCTCCAAATCTCATGTTGAAGCTTAATCCCCAATATGGTATTTGAAAGGTGGGACCTTTAAGAGATAATTGGATAATGAGGGCATGCACTCTTGAATGGATTAAGAGATTAATTGGTTATCGTGGGAGTAGACTGATGACTTTATAAGGAGAGGAAGAGAGCATGTGAGCACATTCTTGCCCTCCTGCCATGTGATGTCCTGCACTGCCTTGAGATCTGCAGAAGCCCTTGTGCCCACCAGAAAGAAGGCCTTCACCAGATGCGCCCCATGGACCTTGGACTTCCCAGTCTCCAAAACTGTAAAAATTAAATCGTGTCTCTTCACAAATTATCCAGTTTCAGGTAGTCTAAGAGATAGAAAACAAACTAAGATACATGTCTGAAAACAAATTCCTGACGTTGCACCCAAAACCTGCCTCTCCTATAGTCTTCCCCAGCTCAGTAACAACTCCCTCTTTCCAGTTGTTCAAAACAAAAAAATCTTGGTTCCTCTCTTTTTCTCTCACCTGATATCCAAACTGCAAACAAATCTGGTTGCCACTACTTTTGAAATATCTCCAGAATCCAACCACCTCAGTACCTTCACTGCTATCAACTTGATCCAAGCCACTATTACCTTTAGTCTGCCTGCTTTTTACCTTTGCCCACTTTTTTTTTTTTTCTTTTTATCTTCTTTACTGACCGCTGCCCTTTTTATCTTCTTTACTGACCGGTAACGGGATCGCAACCCTCGGTGTCGCGCCCGCACCGCGCTCAACCAGTNTCCTTTTTATCTTTACTGACCGGTAACGGGATCGCAACCCTCGGTGTCGCGCCCGCACCGGGGACCGGCAAGGGGATCGCAACCCTCGGTGTCGCGCCCGCACCAGGGACCGGCAAGGGGATCGCAACCCTCGTTGTTGCGCCCGCACCGCGCTCAACCAGTGAGCAGGAACCGGTCTCCACATGGGATCCGAACCCTCGGCGGGAGCGCCACCACGCTCCCAGGCGGCACACTCTCCAGTGTGCCACCGGGCCGGCCCCGCCCACTTTTAATCTATTCTCAACACATCAGTTATCCTGTTAAATGAAATCTAATGTCATTCTGCTCGAAACATTCCAATGGATTCCCATCTTGAAAAGCAACACCTAGGTCATGATCTGGCCCTCTGGTCCCTGGCCAAATATTTACACTCATTTCCTACCTCTCCCTCCCTCACTCTGCTACAACCATACTTTAAGTTCTCCCTTTCAACTCAAAGCTTTGCACTTGCTACTCCCTTTGTCTTGAACCCTCTCACACCCCTCATGATTCAGATCCTTGCTCAAATGTCAATTTCTCAGAGATCTTCCCTAACCACCTAATTTAGAATGGCTCCCCGTCACTATCTTCTTACCCTACTTTATTTTTCTTCAAAGCACTTAACACTACCAGACACTTAAAATGTACTAACATTTTATTGTCTTTTCCACTACAAGGTAGGTAGTCAACAGTTTTGTTTGCTATATGCCTAGAACCTAGAAGAGTGCCTAACACAAGGTAGTCATGTAACAGTTGTTAAATGAAGTGAGAAATAAATACTGGCTTCAAAACTCTATTGGCCTATAATTCTAAATGCTAACCCTAAAGAGAAAAGCATGTGTGAACACTAAAATAAAGCCTCAAATTTTTCTAAAATAAGAAAGATCTCATGAGTATTTTCTGTCATTTACTGTCTATTTCAGGAACTTGAGGAGAAAGGACAAATGAGTAATATCTTCCTGAGCCTTCTAACAAGACTGTCCACTACTGTGCTACACATTCCATAACTCCTCCCACCTGAGTGGGTGTGTACGATTACACTGCATACAGAAATAAGACAGTATGAGAGAACTAGGCATTAAACACTAATCTGCTATAGAATTTTCCCTTCTTGGGTTTTACTTTAATCTTATTTTATTCAATATGTTAATCTAAGTTACTCAGTATGATTATCCCATAATGACTTCATAATCTTAAATTCAAAATAATGTCTAAGGTCTTGTAATTTAAATGGTTACTGTATAATAATGGAGAATATACTCACAATCCAATGTGGGCTAATATCTCTTCTCAAGGCTAAGATGTTCCTGAACGTTATTTATAATCAGAGCATTTCCATAGCTTTGATTCTTTTCCTTCTCCTGCCCCAAGCAAATGATCAAGACTGTTTAAGATGTCCTACGACCTCCGACTGGCCATATTCTGGTTTCAACCTCATGCTTTACTACTGGCAACTTTCCATTTTCTCCTGTTACATTTGTTATTTCATTAACATCATCACACTTCTCTGCAATTAATCTCTTTTTTGCGTGCGTGAAAGCACTCACCTGCCCTCTAACACATCAACCTTGAAAAAAGTCTTCATGAATCCTAATTCATTTCATGAATATTACATATAAATGCCCTAATATATTTCATATAAATGCCCCAGGTCCTTACATCTAACTATTCCTTAAAGTGAATGCCTTTAGACCCCCTCACCATCTTCTGAACAGATTCCATTTTATTAATAAATCTTTAATAAAATGGGGCATTATGTACTAATTATAACGCTCTAAGGTCAGTGCAAAACAGAGCAGACTGTGTTCCATGATCTGGATGCCACGCTTGTCTTAATGCAAAAGAAGAATACAGTTAGTTTTTTATCTGCCAATTTTCACAATAGATTTCTTATGAAGACTGTAATTAACTGAAATCTCCATACAACCAGTTTTTCACCTGTTCGCCACACCTGCCCTTTGCATTCTGGAAAAATTTACTGAATACCTACTATGCGACAAGCTCTTAAGTATAACTACTTTAACAAGATGGTAAATATTCCATCTTGTTTGCAATGGCAGCCTGGGAGTAATAAAGACCTTTCAATAAATCAATGTATCTGTTACCTTCTCCCTATGGTAGGTGTAAACCACCAACAATGTAGATAGGGACCAGTGCTTAGCTTCCGTAAGATGGTATTATCTAGTCCTGGTAACATCTCGAATAGTGCCCGAAATACAGTAGCTATTTAAATAATTGTTTTTGTACCCTACACAAAAGATAAATGAGGAATAATAAAATTCTGATCAAGGGGCTGGGAGAGAAAGGGACTGCAGCATCAGGTCAGTCATGTCAGATCTTCACACCATACCTTCTTTATATAGTTAGAAGTGACTACCCACATCAGATATACTCCTAATTAAGAGAAAATCCCAACACCGAATGTAATTGATAGCACATCCTTTTTATGAGAGTGTTGTTGCTCAGTTCCAATAGATGTAAAAACTTGAGTCACATATACTTTGTATCTGCCATGTTTGCCTGTGAATTCACTTCTGATGTTTCCCACTGATTGTAAACTCCCTGTGGCCAGGAATCAGTGCTCCTTTCCTAGGCTGTCCCCAGTTTGTGCAGTCACCTCCTCAGGGTAAACAAACAAGAATCACAAAACTAAATGTGCAAAAAATTTTCCCTTTGGGGAAATCCTACCCCCCCATTTCTTTATATAACAGAACAATTCTGGTCCTTTTCTTCTCTAACAAGGTAGAGACTGGTATGAACAGCTAGCTCTTAGAACAGCTGTTGAGATTCCTACCGTAATTTCTTCTCCCATCTTGTCCTTGCCCTTGCCCCACCCCCTCAAGTCCAGAAATGACTGGGTACTAACTAGTATAATCCTCCAACAGGAACAGTTTTCTCAGCACTAGGAATAAGCTGACATGCCCAAGGTCACATACAAAGCCTGCCTCCTGAACCAGGATTTCGGTTCAGTGGCCAAACCTCTGGCTCCACTAACCCTCAGATAAGGCCTTGAGGCCCTGTTCCAATTCAGAGGCAGTGGCTTAAGCACCTCCTGAGAATAGGAGTTTCCTTCAAGAAATTCTAAACCAAGGCAACCCTTGATTATTCCAAAGAATGCTAGGTGTCTCAAATCCTGCCTGACCAGAGGCGGGCAGCGTCGCAAGATGGTAAGGATTCGCACTACCAGCTATGTGACTTTAGGTGCTTCTCGAAGGCTCACTTTTCTCATATACAAAACAGGATTATCTAAATTTGCATGGGTCCTAGTGAAGATTAAATGAGACTGTGCACCTAAAATACTTAGTACCGTGCCCAGCAAAGCAAACTCAAAGTTAGCTATCATCATCACTGTAAAACCGGGTTGGGCCCCCAGACGGCGCTTGATTAAGCACTGACATTGCCAAGGAACAACGTTCCTCTTAAGTGACCCCAATCGAGTTATTCCCATAAGCGCCACTCTCCCCACTTCTCACCCTTACAAGTCGCTCCGGACGTTAAGCGCCGCCGAACCCAGGCATCCCAAGGCCCCTCTCCTCTTTCCGGAATTCCAGCGCCTCGGAGCCAGGAGGAACCGGCACTAGGGCTCGCACTGGCCCAAACGCCCCCCCCGAGCCCAGCGGCCCGCCTCCCTGCCACCGTGGCCGGGCGCCCCCTTCTCCTCCCCCTGCGAGCCCTCCCCTCCCCCACGCGAGGCCCCGCCCGGCCTCCCTCTCCCCTCTATCCCCTTCCCACGACCCCTCCGGCCCCACTCGCCCAGAGCCTCCCAGTCTCCCTGCCTTCTCAGAGCGAGAGGCCGAGCCCCCACCTCCAGCGGACGTACCGGCTTGTCGAGCCTTCCGCCTCTCCGCTGACCCGGCCGATGCAAGGCCGCCGCCGCAGCCGCCGCCGGACACTGGGCCTAGGAGGGGAGGCTGCGGTCACGGCCCGTTCGGTTGCCCTCCCCGGCCGCCGCACCTCACTCGCAGGCTAGTGCCAATCGCGCTGACCCAACAAGCCTAGCGAGAACTCAGGCCCAGTACGTGGCAGGTGGGGGAAGAAGAGGGGCGGGACCAAGAAGAAAAAATCCGTCCTTTCGGCCGCCTCACCGTGAGAGAGCCACCCCAGGACGCATGCGCGGCGACGGGGCGCGCCGAGCTGTCGGGGACCGGCCTGCGTCGGCCGAAGGAGCCCTGCTTTCTCACTGGAGGACTGGGTGTAGCAAGTGTGAGCCGAACAGATGTACGCATGCGCGGGGCGTGGCCAGCTCTCCCGGTTCTCCTGAAAGCGTGTATTTCTCTTCTCTCGCCCGTGGGCGGGGCGTAGTGTGCTGTTAGGGACTATCGGAGAGTCACTTGCGAATAGGCATCGGTCCAATTTTCGGTGGTTTAAGTTGTTGTAGCTTTTTGACCACAGTAGTTCTCCTAGTCGCATCGCAAAAAAAAAACTAACCCTTTTCCCGCTGTCCCTCTGCAATTCCATTCATTCATTGTTGGATGCCTCCGCTTCGTCAAGCGTTGAGTCAGCCAGTCTGATCAAGGAGTTTCCGGTTCTACGAAGAAGCCCTGCAGTGTTTATGAGACAGGACAAATCTATAACTGTAAAGGGCAAAGGCTGGGAAATCAAGGCTAACTAAGGGTTCCGGAAGTCTTTTTTGAAAGATGAGGCGTTTGAACGTCCCCTGAATACTCTTCCCTCCTCCCTTACCTCAAACAACTGTTTGAACACACTTACGTAAAAAAGTGCCTGTGGCTCAGATTGAACCCAAAGTTTCTGGGAGGAGGTGGTGAAGGCTGGCGGGGGGTGGGGAGTGCTATTTGAAAACTTTCAAACAGCTTTTGCCTTGTGTTTAAAAAATTATTCAGTGACACCTGTTAAAGCATGGAGAGGCAGGTTCTGTTCAGGACCGTCGTGATACAGGTACCAGTGCAACAGGATTTTGCAGTGGCGGGGAGAGATCGGGCTCAACTCTGAATACAGTATGGGAACGTGGGAGTTTATAGCCGGGGGCGGGGAGGGGTAGTGGATGGGAAATTACTGAGAAGAAATATTAGTGGTAAGGGGTATTCTGGCTAAACTGACCTAATAGGTTTCTAGCTAAAGAAACGCCAGGGTGACTAGACAACACCTGGTGGATAGTGGAAGATGAGGAACATGTTCAAATATGGAAGGTGTGAGATTCTTGCTATACTGACTTAGCAGGGTTCTTTGCTGAAACAGGATTTTTACAAGGAAGTGCACACACAGATGGGCCTAGGAGAAGGTTCAGGAGCCTGATTAAAATTTGGTCAAGTACCGGTCCGCTCACTGGTTGAGCGCGGTGCGGGCGTGACACCAAGGGTTGCGATCCTGTTACTGGTCACGAAAAAAAACAAAAAGGAAAAAAAAATTTTTTTTGGTCAAGTAGAGAATCTTTGTCACTTCTAAGATGGAGACTAAGCAAATCACATGGTCCTTGATTGTTCACTGTACTCCTGAGAACGTGGGGTAAACTAAGTCTTTGAAAATTCTGTTTGAGAGTGAAATTTGCGAGTTTAGAATGCTGTTTGCCTGTGATTTGTGTTTTCAACAGTTGTGTGTATTTCCCTTGAGCAATTGCTTGCAGGGACTGGGGAGCAGCAGATTACAGAAGGAATAGAAAAGAGTTCCAGTGTTTCTCCAGAGAGTGTTCTTCATTGTTCGCTCAGTATTTAAAACTCAGTAATTCAGATTTGGGGAAATGGACTGCTATCTGAAAGTAGTATTCTGATATCTTTGAAATGGTTTGGGATTGAATAAATTCCCACGCATATTGGTGGAAGTAAAATATTCCCTGAAGGAAGTAAATTATACCACTGCAAATCTTCCTAAATGGAGGTCTGACCCTGGGGCGAGAGATAAAGAGGAACCTATCTTGAACCTTGGCCTGGAATGAGGGGAAAGAATTTCCTCTCTCTAGACTCTCCTGAGTGGGCACTCAAGAGTCTTGCCACTGAGGATAAATAAGCTGGCCCCTTTCATAGTGTGGCCAGATCAAAGGTTCAGGTGACATGATTGCATAGAAGAAGGACATCTATGCAATATTAAAGCATTTCTCCAGGATTTCCCAGAAATATATATATATTTTAATCTTCAGATTTTGTAAAAGACTTTGCCTTCAGCTATTCGGCTGGATATAGGTTTAAAATATTGTGATTGGACATGAAGTCTAGAACAGTGAGTTGTCTTTAAATGTCTTGTATATAGGGAATCACACAAAATTATCATCTGAGTTTGTTACATTGCCCCCATTAGGTTATAAGCACCTTAATTACTAAAACCATATCCTACCCATTTTTGTGTCTCAACTTAATCCTAAATTGTTCATGAAAACTTCAGTGACCTTTTTTGCTCCTGACCCTATATAGAAGTTACATTTTAAAAATTAATATAAGTGCATAGTAAACTGGAACTCACCATCCTACTCAAGAATTAGAACACTACCAATATATTATGTCTCCCTGTGTTCCTCCCCAAGCTGTTCCCGTGCCTCTCCTGAATTGTGTGTTTAGCATTCTCCTTATATAGTTTTAATCTTGTATATAGTTTAGTCACATAGATGAGGGTACTTCAAAAAGTTTGTGGAAAAATAGAATTAAAAGATAATATGAATCTTTCCATGAGCTTTTTAAAGTATCCTCTTGTACATATACATGTATGCCTCAGTAATGTGTTATTCAGTTTTACTTGTTTATGGCCATTATATAGAGTATCATCTGTATGCAGTTTTCTGGGACATAACTTACACACTCAATATTATGGAACTGTTAAAAGAAGAACTTAAGACAAAATAAATTTAACAGAGTTTATCTGAGAAAAAAAGGATTCATGAGTCAGGTAACACTCAGAACCAGAAAAGGTCCAGAGAGCTCTGCTGCAGCAGCGTGGACAGTGAGCTTTTTTATAGGCTGACCCGGAAGAAAGACAAAGAAAATATATTTGGTTGGTTAGAGTGGAAATATCGTCATTAGAGGTTGGTTGGTGGTTTATGATTGGTAAAGTCTGTAGTTTCCTTGTACTGCCTATATCGGGTTTCACTTTGCTTATGAAGGAATTTAAAGCACACCCGGAACTGCTCCAACCTAATGACCTCCCAGTTAAAATTTTGTTTTATTTGTTCTCCTATCAAAGTGTCTTTAGGGTTGTTTCCTGTTTGTTGCTGTGTGCTGCTATGAACATTCTTATATAGGTCTTTTGTATAAAATTTTCTCTTGGTTATACACTAATGCATAGATTGCTGAATGGTGAATTATGTGAACATTTAGCTGTACAGGATAATCACAACCCTTGGTGGTGTTAAGACTTTGGGGGGATGAGGTGTAAATGATTTTTTTTTTTGTGGTCTTAGTGAAGACCATAATGAACAATATAATCCTGACTTTGAGTGCCAAACATTTGACAGTTAGACATTTAATTCCTTGCAAAATTTCATGAGATTGTTCTGTAGTTCTGTATCCTTACTTATCTTTCTTTGTCTGAGAATCTTCCCCATGACCACCCAACTTGAGGCAGTGATTATATTTTCTCTATCACTCTCAACATCTGGTATTGATTGCCACATGTGAATAGCAGACAATGAATATCTGTTGTGTGGATGAAATAGTAATAACTATTTCTGTAATGTGCCCACAGTTGCTGACACACATCTCTGTACTTAGACTCCCAGTAAATGTGATAATTGGCCACAGAGTGATAACCTGAATTGAACCAGTTACCCCCAAGAACGTGGTCTCTCCCACTGTGTGTGTAGACACTTTCATTAGTTACTGCTGCCTTTTATTAGTGAAGCTGAAAAAGCTCAGTTATAATGTAGTTATCATTGACTATGAATTTATCGTCACATTTATTGAGAATAAGCATCGAACATCCATTAAGAAGATTGTTCTAGGAATTTTATAAGCAATCCCACCTTTAAAGTGCTGCTAGCTTGGGGGTATAGCTCAGGGGTAGAGCATTTGACTGCAGATAAAGTGCTGCTAGCCAAAAAACATCTTGCTCTGTTTTTTGTGTGGATCTTAGAAAGGTACTAAACCAGAGTAAATTGAACTTCATGCTCTCTTGGCTTTCTGTCCTACATCCTGGTAAATTTGCTTTTAAACACACACTGAGCAATAGTCTTGAATCAGAAAATTCCATTTGATGGTAGTATGTGAAAATTGGGAATATGTGAAGGAAGGAGAAGCAGTGTAAGGAAGTACCTTTGACCCAGCCTGTAGCAAGGGGAATTATGAGGCTCTGACATTCAAAGGTTACTTTCCATATTTCACCATCATCTGAAGAAAGGTTTAAAGTTATACTGTGGCTTTGAGAGAGGCAGTCAACTCACCTACTGCCTGCTCTTTCTCTCTGAAAGTCACCTCAAATGGAAAAGAGAAAATCCCAAGAATGAAAATGGGGGATCTTTGGACTGGATGACAAATGGTACAAAGACTTTGAGCCCTGCTGGCAAGTTAGATAAAACCTGTGTGTCATCAAGTTCTCCTTTAGTAGTTAGTGTTTGAATATTTTAATCATCTCATCTACTGTAAGGGGAACCATAGAAAGGATGTACGTTCCTCCTTGGCTGCGAATTTCAAAGGAGAAGTTACATCCCTCCCTGAGAGTCAGCTCTGTTGTGGCAGCAGTCAGCTAAATGAGAGAACTCCAAACCAGGGTAATCATGAGGACCAAATAGGGAACAGTTGGTCAGCTCAGCTTCCCCTCCACTGTCTAAACATAAAGATCTGCTTGTGTAGACAAAGGAAGCTGCCATCTCATGCAGAGACAATGGAGGAGGAGAAAGGAATGATATTCTTACTGTGTACTTTTGAGTGAATGATGCTTAGCACCTGCTAAGCAGAATACTTCAACCTATCCTACTAGCTGCACATCCACTGAGACCCTAAAAATTTTTGCCTTATCATAGGGCTCTATGTCCAACCTCTCTTTAGAGAAATTGCTCCTTGAAGGCAGTTCTTTCTAGATTTTGTATTT